GGAAAGAGTTTGTATAAAAAGGTGGAAGAGGTGAGAGGTGTGAGGTGCCATGCAAAACAAGATGTTGACACGCACGGTGAGGACTTCGGACTCGGTGGGTCCACATTTTGTGTGACTTGTACAAGTGGGATCAGTGGGAGTTTGTATTTTGGCAAATTGAAGGTGGTGACTCATCAATTGTGTGTTTCTAATGGTCATGTCGTCTTTAGTCAGATTTTTTTTTGCCTCCTTGAGGAAAAAGTGGGGTTCAAAACGGCCAAGAGAAGTGATCAAGAAGCTTATTCTAGAGTTGTACAGCAGAAATGATTGAGGCCGTAGAAGAACATTTTTTTGCTGGTAAAAGTACTTTAATTTTGTTGTGTTTGACAAGTTAAAAGTCTAGCTAGACGATGAGCTATAATTAAGGGGGAGAAAAAGCCATTTCCATGTTATTTTGCTATGTCTTTGGCCGTTATTGTTTTTTTGCAGTTTGTCTATCAATTATCGTAGAGGTGTCAAATGGGCCAGGCCATCCATGGACGGCCCGGCCCAATCCAGCTCATAATAGTATCTGATTTGGTACGATCTGATTCGTTACTGTTACGGGTTGTATCGACACAACACGTGTAATGGACTAAGGCTGAGCCTCAACTTCTCAGCCCGCGGCCCAAGCACGTGGAGGCCCGCAGCACGGCCCTTATTCGGCCCGGCCCAAGCCTACAAAACGGCCCACGAAGAAACACATTTCATTTAGTCCAGTGGGCCCTTCGCGGGCCCAACATTCGGCACGTGACGGGCCTCCCGTTTGGCCCGTCACGTGCCTCCCGTTTGGCACGTGACGGGCCAAAAAAACTGAATTTCAACCCAAAAATCCCCTATAAATACCCCTTAATTCCACCATAAATCTCACAAAACAATTCACTCTCATCTTCTCATCTCATTCTATCTCTCAACTTGTCTATTTGATTTTGATTCTAAGTTTTTTTCTCACGTTCATTCATTTTCTAGCTCTTTCATTTACAAAGTTCAATCAAGTTCTATCAATTTCTAAAAAATGGCCTCACCAAACTTCCCTGATTTCACTACTCTTACTGAGCTTGGTGAGGAGACATTTTTTTAGAAAGAAATGATGCCTTCCAACCCCACCCCCACTGAACCAGAAAATGCTCCGGTGGATAATGCTTCAGTATACAACGAGGAAGCTGGAGAACGCAGCACAGGAAAAAGACCGCGAACTTCTCCGGCATGGCAGCATTTCACCGAGGAGTCCCGATCAAATCTAAAAACAGGTGAGATGGAAATTCGTGCGGTATGTAAGTATTGTAAAAAGCACTTTTCTAATAAAAATGGTAGGGATACTGGTCATCTGGATAGACATTGGAAAATATGTCTACCGTTGCACCAAGGTGGGAGTGTAGACTCCCGCCAACAAACACTATCACTCACATCACATGGGTTACAAAATTTTACATACGATGCACAACGTGCTCGTGAGGCACTAGTTAAATTTCTAGCTAGTGTCGAATTGCCTCTTTCTTTTGCAGATGATGCCTTCTTCGAAGAATTCATCCAGACAGCCTTTTGCCTACAATTTAAACGGGTAAGTAGAAACACAACTCGTTCTGATTGCATGAAAGTTTTTTATGCAATGAGACAATCTCTTATTGATAATTTTAAGACTTTTAATGCTACTATGTCTTGCACTTCTGATCTGTGGGAGGGGTGTAATAAAACTGGATATTTATATGTCACAGCCGCATTACGTTGATGACGATTAGGTTTACAAAAAAGAATAATTAGTTTTCGTTTATGTCCATATCCTCATAACGCAACAGTTATTTTTAGTACAATAATGGAAATTTTTGGGTTTTATGGGATATAAGATAAAGTTTTAACAATTACTTTTGATAATGCATCAGCTAATACAGCTGCAATTAATCTGTTTAAACGTAGTTTGAAACTGGCATTTGGAGGGGAAATTTTTCATCAACGGTGTGCATGTCACATAATTAATTTAGTAGTTCAGGCAAGAATTGAACATATCTCTGCTAATCTTACAAATATTAGAGAATCATTATCCTTCATATCTAGTTCTGGAGCTCGGCTCTAAGAATTCAAACAATATTACAGGAATAGCCAGATGTGCCTAAGAAAGTTTCCAACTGACGTGAGACATAGGTGGAATTCAACATATTTAATGTTGAAGGCAGCACTCCCGTATTCACAGCTTATCACGACATACGTAAACAGCAAGAATGATCAAATTTTAATTTCGATCCTGATTGGCAGATTGCTGAGTATTTTTTTAAATTTTTAGAAGTTGTTTACAATACTACTGAATTACTTTCTGGAGTTTATTATCCTACTGCACATTTAGCTTTACATTAACTATTTAATATTCAAAAACATTTTCTTATTATAGGGCTACACAACTTTTTAGAAATATAGTTAACTTAATGGAAAATAAATTTAAAAGTTATTGGTCAGGTTGTCCTATGTCATATGCATTGGCAACCATTTTAGATCCTAGGTGCAGAGTAGATGGAACTGAATCATTGATGACTGCTACCGCAGAGAATTTAAAAATAGATATGCAACTAAGTATTACTGACGCTAAGAAAATGTTTGAAAAAGTTTTTAGTTTGTATGAAGCAAAATATAGCACGGGTCAAAAAGAACAAGTAACTTCGTCGTCAACTACCAGTTCGGGGCCTAAAGGATTGTCGTGGAGTTTCTTGAAGAAGAAAGAGAAAACTGCAGGATCGTCCTCAACACAAGCGTCTATGGAACTAGTCAAATATTTTGAAGCAAATTTTGTAATCGATGACGACAAACTAGACATCTTATAGTGGTGGAAGAGCAAGAAAGATCGTTTTCCAACACTGTCCATAATAGCTCGTGACATTCTGACAACTCCAGTGTCAACGGTAGCATCAGAGCAAGCTTTTAGCGCAAGCAACCGAATTCTTGACGAGAAGAGAAGCAGAATGCATCCAGATATCTTGGAGGGACTAATGTGCGTTAAAGACTGGGAAGATGCCAGAAGACGAAAACAACAATACACAGATGATTTGATGCAAGAATATTTTTCTAACTTAGAAATAACAGAATCTTCTGGAAGCACTTAGGTTTGTAATTTACTATTCCTAGCTACTGCACTCTTTTTTCCTTCGCTAAGGTTTTGTCCCGATCTCCCCACGGGTTTTACTTAGCAAGATTTTTAACGAGGCAGTCATTTATGTGTACTCCTATTACGTCAATTCAATAAAATCACATCTTTTGGGGCATATGATATTTTTTTTAATTAAATTTTAAAAAAAAAATACAAGGGCCGGGACCGGCCCGTGAAGGGCCTGGGCCTAGGCCTGGCCCTGGCCCTTATGGACTAGGGCCAAGGGCTTGGACCGGGCCTGAGTTTTTCTTCTTAGGCCCGGCCCAGGCACGGCCCAGGCCCGTGATGGGCCTGGGGTCAAGCGTGCCGTGCTGGCCCGGCACGGCACGTTTGACATCTCTAAATTATCGTGTTTTTGCCTCATTATTATTGGTATATTTGGGTGGTACTTTCATGATTTATGCCTTGGTGATTTCCCTTCCTAAAATATGTTTTAGTTTTGGGTTTATTTTTTTGTCCTACTTTTTTGCTTGTTGATCACTTTCTATTAAATTAACTAGTTCATTATATGCCCTTTTGTAAAGAGAGGTGAACAACTAATGCGAGTTAGTCTGCAATTAATATTGGACAAATTTTAATTACTAAGAGTACAATTCCAAATGCAGCAATCTTACAATTCAAAACAATCTTTTTTCCTATTCTATATATTAAAAAAAAACACTGTTTTTCCTATCAAAAGTCTTGGAAGCTGGTGTGAAGCCTCTTGTACGTTGGCCAATTAATCAAAACCAAAGCACAATTAAAAAAAAAAAGGGAAAACAGACGTAGATATATATGGATGAATAAGATTTGATTATTAATGCTCCTATTTTTTGTCTCATACAGCAAAATCTATTACCTAACTATATAAGATGTTCGCACAGAAAATTCGTAAACAACGATATATATATATATATATGTACGTACATGTATTAGATTATTTAAAGAACATCTGATTTATGCACTGACGATTCATATATGACGATATAGACCTACAGGTTATTAGAATAAGTGGTATTTATTTATTTTAACAAGGGTAAAATTGTGTATTATCCTTTTTCTTTTTTTTTTTCCTATTTTGTATGGGGTAATGTCACAAAACATATTAATTTTAGTTTTTACTGGTGGATTCCGTTATTGATTCGGGATCGAATTTTTTTATATTTGAGGTCATTCGTGTCTTGTGTAATTTGTTTTTTATGAAATGAAATTTTTTATCCAAGAATGAAAATACCAATATCATAATTAAACTTTAGGTAGGTGGGTCAACTCCAAAATCAATTGATTAATTAAGAGCATCTTATTCTTTGTAAATAATATGCCAAAGCCAAAATATAATATAATAACTCTTCATTTATAAACGCTTAGACGTAATTTTTCTTAATTACGGATAACGATGGCGTCATCATATTAGAAAAATATTTCGGACACAAATTAGATAGTAGTAGATAGTTTATTAATCTATGCCTCCATTCAAAGAAAAATCTCGAAGTACTTAAAGCTAACCGTCTATGAAAGGACTTGTTAAAAAATAAAAATAAAAAATTATCATTGATATGTAGTAGGCTAGCAGTACATTAAAATTAACTTCATAATATCGGAACATATAATAAGACCTAACTGTTTTATTTTATTTTATTTTTTTCAATTTCTATGTGACATTTTTCGTTCACTCACGTATAGTGATCACATCTTCAATAATAATGAATAACAAAGCACTAAGTAGTCATTCATTAACTATGAAATTTAAAT